ATTTGTATATAGTGTAGTATTTAAAAAAATTTTCAACCCGAATTCTTTTTTTAACGCTTCCGTTAATATCTCAAAAACTATTGGGTATATAGAAAAGGTTTAAATTGCAGAATTGTATGTTTTGGAACGAGAAATTCAGCTATGCAAATAACTTTTACAAATATCTATTTGTTTAAATAATATATCAAAGATTTATAACTTTTTACACATTTGCATAACAAAACCCATTTTAATAAAATTTTATTTATTCCGGATAAACGTAAGAATAATCGATGTTAAAGCTTCAAATTTCTATTCGAAGTTGTTCCGATAAATTGCTCGGATAAATTCTGAAAAAATACTATTCGATTTCGTAAACTTTGCCCTGTAAAATGTACTTTTCAAAAAGATGAAGAGATTACGGGAACATTGAAAAAAAAATTAAGTTTACCGTGATGTACGCCACTCGGTGCCGTGTAGGCGCAACTGACAGCACAATCGCTTCACTGTCTTCTGTATTTCTCTAAAAAGATTGAAATAAAAAATTTTTATTTATCCGTATTTCTCGTATTTGTTTGCAGTTCACGTTTGCAAATTTACACAAAAATGGAACCACAATCTTTTACAAAAATGTGTAAAAAAAAACTACATTTTTAATATATTATTTAAACAAGTGGATTTTTCTGAAAGTTACTTGCATAGCTGATTTTCTCGTTTCAAAACATACAGCATACACAAACAAACATACAACACGAAAAATTCGATCCCCCTGTTCGACCGCCCTTAGAGCTGCTCTTCCTTTTTTGTTCGTTTTTTCTGTTCGCCAGGCTCGGAATAAAGCTTCGTGTTTTCTTGGAAACTACATTCCACCACACAGAGACACGCGCCCAAATAAAATACTCGACAGAATTACCACCAAATAAATAGGCAAATAAAGTATATTCAATTTATAAATCAGTGAATGCCTGTCGCAGCACAGACTTTCCAAAGCGGCAATGAAGAAATTATTACCCAAAGAAAAACTTGCCAAACGCGTCATAAATGTTCTCCACGTGTCTTACAACTTGGTAATACGAATGTTCTCATATTACTTTCAGAGAAAAGCAAACTGAATCGTTAAATATTAGTAATACGTCTAAACGAAAATTTGATCTGTTTTATCTACAGAATCATCAAAATAACAATTCTCTCGGAAGATACGAATACCAGTTTTAATTATATTTCCTCATATTTACTGAAACACTTCATTAAACTGCAATAGTATAAAGCGAAAGAAAGATGCAATACGATATCTTTTACTTTTTCCTAGAAATATTTAATTTACTTACTTTAATTCTCATAAGAATTTCTGTGTATGTCGGAAATTATTTTCAACATTAAGTGTCTTGAAAAATTCCATATTCTTTACTGTATAATTTTAATTGCAAATGTTTTTCCATATTCTTCGATGAAATAACAAATTGAAACAACGAAAAGCATTTTGGTCGCGACAAAAACCGATATGATTTTCGCGTAAAAGCCTTAATATTTTGTTTACATTCGACATAATTATTTATGAGTACTGCAATGCGTGGGTAGCTCGGTTCTATACCGACTGAAATGTCGATGGTTTACCGGTAGATGTAGGTCATCGCAATAATTTCTGACATGTTTCGCATGTTGTGCTGATAATAACGTATTGTCCGGTGCGAAATGAATCGGTTGGTAGACGACAAATCGGTGCGCGTAAGCCTAATTGATCATTAGTATCGAACGATTGTCAGCAACTCTATCATCCGCTACTGATATTATCATAAATATTGCAAAACTATCATCAATACGTCCGCGAAAATACTGAATTCATTCTCACAATGAACGTGATATTTTCTATCGTACGATACTGTAAATTTTTATAAAAATTATAAAAATTGCAAAAGTTTATTTTTACTTAAAAAACCCTTCATCATGGTAAACAGAAATCCGTCACGTTCGTATAATTATACTTTCTTAATATTAAATTTTCAACGAAATAATATACGAAAGTTTGATCAAGTTTATTTTGCATATTTGAAATAATTTTATTTCACTGTTACCTCAATTTAATCGTAAATAATTTTAAAAAATTGCAATATTGTGAATGAGTTATGTTCATAAATTTAAAATTACTTTAAAAATTACTTGAAATAATTTCATCATAGGTACGTCAGTGAAACTTCTTTCGAAGTAATTTTATTCCGAAGTAAATTTCAAGCAACACTACTACAACTCGTCAAACCATAATAACAATTTTATTGTTAAGCAAATTATGTATCTAAGAGAAATCTTCTTTCATATCCATGCGAATCTCTTGCGACAATTCGGACGCAGAAATTTGCATGAAGTCGTTTGTTGGGTGCGCGCAAGATTATTGCGTAAGGCGTAATCTCGTTTTCTTTTCGTAAGATGCAGAAAGAAAGAAAGCAGCCAGGACGACGTTCGTTACAATCCCATTGTTTCCGCTGCGTCGTCGTTTCAAGGAAAAATAAATAGCTGCACGACTGTGAAGGACTCGCCTATTTGTCGAGAATGAAACGAAAACAGACCGGGCAAAAAAGTTGCTCATTATACCAACACTGTGTCTGCCCATGCGAAGTCTTAGACCGCCGCGTGACCTCCAACCAGACCAAACTTTCTTAGATCATAACAATTTCCTTACTACCGTCGGCAATTCTAGTGCACATCAACACAATCCCGCGTATGTAACAAGACCATTTTTACAACTAGCATTTCATCATACGCATTTTATTTTTCTATAGGAATATTTGATATTTACGTTAAAATACGCAACATCGAGATAACAGCTTAAATATTTTGTCAAACAATGAGCGTAAAAATATATTTACACCTCGTGAACATTTTGTAGATCTTATTAATTCAATTCAAAATTAACAGTCACTGTACTTAAAATAAATGCTTGTAAACTGGCCAGATTTCCTGAAGGCAAATTCAGTACATTTTTATTGTCGAAGAAAAATTAAAAATGGATATATTTAGTAACTGTGACGATATAAAATTACATTTTAATTTAATTATTGTATTTAAGGTACTAGAAAAAATGAACAAATTAAATTTGCTACACTGTTATTATTAAATATGAAGATTGCTTAATATTCAAGTACCTAATATTCAAATAATGGTTACACATGTTTATTTGAACAAGGAATTGTCTTCAATAATCTTCATTATTTAAAATTTCTTCATAGTTAATATTGTACTTTACTACCCCTAATTATCTTTTTTCATTACTCACATTCAGCACAAAATTTAAACCAGTACGTCAGGTCACTTTACACATGAACCATAGTTGCGTTCCAAGTACAACTCTATATTCGAAAAAAGGAAAAACAAAGAAAAAACTAAAGTAATATCAAGTTACTCGACTATTCGTTAGTTTTGCGCCATATAAGGTACGGCGGTTAATAGGAATATCGATTTCGAGGAACGGACACGCCAAGCTTCGACAAATAATTGTACACAAATATTCGATCGTAAATGTGCGAGTATCGTCAACGTACGTGTGAAATGAACGTTAAATGAATCGCATTTCAACGAATGCAACGTTTTTAACGAACATTAGATTTAAACGAAACAATAGCTAAAGTAACTTGGCGTAGAAACTATGCCATGTGAAATTCAGTTTATTCGTGTTGTACAGAACACGATAAAGTATCGGTCACGAAATAGACCGTACTATCAAGGAATAACATTACAAATGTTACTTTACTGTAGGACACGCAGATCAATGATGAAAAAATTTCTACTACGTACCTACTTGAGATACTATTCCACTCTTGTTTCCAATATTGGCATGATAATGGGGTAGAAACAAAACGAATTCGATTGCCACTTGTAACGATGCTATTGCACCGGTAAGATTCACGATGGAATTTTTAGTTCGAACGTGCGCGTGCGATTAAATGAATCCCGATAATTCTAAAGGTAGATGAATCTAATTTATTCGTTTGTGGATTTTGTTTTCCCAAACTAGTGGCTTGTTTGTAAAAATATGTTTACTACGTAAAAATTTTATTTGACGCTTTTTCGCCATACTGCTACTATGCGTCTAGGTTATGTTTCTGTTTTAAAGGTTACGCTAGGGAAAAAATGTCGCAACATGGAATTTAGCAGTCACTGAAAAAGCACGATGAAGGAAACTTATCGGCGATACCTTAATCGAGGGATATTTCGGAAATTTGACTCTTCGATCGAAAAAAATCCTTTGATACAAAATAGCGTTTTATAACGTCGGCGAAAAAAGCGAGCATACGAGGAAAAGAACGAAAGTGATTTTGACCGTTTCGATTTTCCTACTCTTGGAGGAAAAAAAAAAAAACTCGTTTCTCGTTCGACAGATGGTGCCGACAGATCAAATGCGTTGAAACGTGGCTGGCCGTGAGAATTTCGAAAGCCGTTTCGAACGCGCGTTTCATCGATGCGTATCGTGCGCGTCGATAGTTTTCGAGTGTTAAAAGATGTCGGTGGATATTACATACTTCGAATGTCGTTCGTTTCGATCGTCATTTCAACGGAGAGAGGATATCAAAAGAACGTCGAATGTCTACGAACGAATTTTGTAGAGAACGCTTTCGTGCATTTATAAACGGCAGAATGACAAGACGGAGAGAGGAAGAGGAGGAGAAAGAGACGAACTGTCGCGTCAAACGACGTACGTTTAGTCGTTCGGCTAAAGCTGTCGATGTCATCGTACCCAAGCTATTCGAAACAATATTTTCGCTGGTCGAAAGAAGTCGCACCAGAGCTCGTAAATAATATTTTCATCAGCAGCGGCGTACACAAAGCAAAAGCTGTGTCGTCGAAATACCGCTGGTTTGGACATGATCGAGAACACTTGACCACGTGGTTAGAATAAATATTAGAAATAGAGAGACTCGACGAAATAAATTGTAACACAACGACATTTCATGACTTTGTACTAATGTCGCAGCACACCCTTGCGGTAATTAAAGGAAGGACGAGAGAGAGAAATGAAGGTGAATATTTACATGATCGACGTATGCTGCGGCCTGTCCACGTCGCCGACATTATTCGTGGCCCCTGTTAATCCTTGCACCTGTACGTTGGTCGCGATGCTAGTCCTTGCCGGGTGTCTGGCACTATCCTTCAGTATTTTAGTCGCGCTAAGCGGCGTGGCTGTCACGCACATTGTCTTGCGCGGTATCACGATCACCTTGGTAGCACGCACTTTGAAGGAGCGCCGTCGCGTGCACAAAACAACAAGCGTCGGTCACGACCGGCAAGAAGAACCGAGAAACGAATCGAGCTCACGCGTAAACGTGAATGGTGAAACGAGGCGAGAAAAGACGCACTGAAGCATACGTGAAAACTTCGAAGACACAATCTTCGACAGAATTTATCCGAGGCCTAGCGCGTGGTGGTTCGTATGTACAATGCAAGGTGTAGCGAGATTCAACTCGTGACGGCAGGGGGGAATGAGTGTGCGTGTCGATTCCTTGATGAGACTAAAACTATCAGCGAGTGATTTCTTTTTTTCGTGTTAGATAAACCCTGCAGCAACGGGTGTAAATAAAAACTCGCGTTTCGTTTGTTCACAGATCCCACCTCATAGCGTACCGCGGGCCTACTGAGTGACTGACTGACTGAGTGACTGCCGCGAGCTTCGAGCCACGAGCCACCCTGCGTGGGTGCACACGCGGTCTTAGTGCGTGGAGAGGCAACGAGTACGCTTATTGGTCCGCGCCAGAGACTGGCTCTCGTGGGGGGTGAGCGTCGACCAATCGTTGCTCCCGAGTCACCACCGTATCACCGAGCAAACTCTGCTCGAGGATTTTCCAGCATTCTATCGCGAACCGTTCGTTGGTGCGTCTTGTCCTCCTGTTTCTGCTATTCTGTTGTTTTTCGTGATTTCTTCCGAGAGGTTTTTCCATTCTTCGCGTTGCACCCTCGATGTTCGACGTTCGTTTTTTTTTCTTTCATTCTTGTTCACGGTCCCTGTGATGTTGAAAGCTTGTGACAAAAGTTTTAGGTTTCTAAGCATCCTTCACCTTTTTTGCCAACCTTCGAGAGTGCAAGTACTAGAATTTTGAATGGAATAGCGTCAGTTGTGCGAATCGAAGTGGATCCAGTCCTATGGATTCTACGAGATGTGTCTTGGAACAAAAATTTGTGACGAAACGACGTGTCATTACGAAAAAGTGTTGTGCTATAAAAAGTGTAAACCCTGCTTGTCGGTCTTTTGCAGTTTGCCGACGGAATGAGCGATTACCGCATCAAGAGCGTGTGACCGTTTCAGTTTTTCAGACGTTTTTAACGCATTTTCGAAAGACATTGAAAGAGCATTCTCTTTGTGCAACGCATCCTATTTAGTTCAAACAGTTTTGTCATCTAGTGTATTATCTGTAAGATCATACTCGTGTCCATATAATAACGTCTTTCACGATACTTTCCAAACAAAGACACGCCGAGGAAATAACGACAAAAAAATCCTGCGCTGGGTAGGATTGTAATCCGATTCAACCTTTGACGCTATCTCTTCCCCTTCCTCCGTACGTATCGCGTGTCGTTTAGTGGTTAGAACTTAACGGGCATTTATCACGCATTGCCACAAACCGAACGTCTCGACATGCGATAAATTTTGTTTATAACATTATCATATTATAAACACAGAAAAATATCAGCGTAAAAGTCCAACTGTGAAATCGTGTAATACGAAATGTCGAATTTCTAATCATTTGCAAATTGATCGTTCAAAGTCATTAACCGAGTGTTGAAAAATAATATGTTAACTATTCTCAAGATCTATCTATCGGTGTTTATAAATCCATCAATTACCTTAACCTTACTTCCATCTAGTTTTGCGCATTAAATTTCAGAAAAAATACAAAAAATGCACAGGTGAATAGCTTGTCATCCTATTTGAAATTTCATGTGGACGAGTAAATAGGCAAAGTGTTGAAGTTTTTGTGCGATAAGTGTCGCAGGTACTCGGTCACATCTGGAAAAAGAACGAGACGGGTGGCGCGCGCGGTATCTGTGTGTGTGTGAATGTGCCTGCCGAAATTTTCTCGCTCTGTTTGGTGTGGCTGGCCCCACGGAAAGCGACCAGGTGCGCTAGGCCTTAAATGCCGGCCGACTGACGTGCACCTAAGTGTTTTTCACAAGCCAGCAGTTTACAACGGTTCCTTTATGTCCTTTATTAACTTGGAGATTCGATGCTACGTGACAGGGTCGAGTTTCCTCGGATTTTTATTTCGGTCGGTTTTTCTACGGCTACGAAATTAACAAGATCACCTTGTATCGGTGAAATCGTAGTGGAAAATACAGTGGCGAAAACCTAGCGTTGTCCGGTGTGCTTCTTCACAATGGTTTATACACCTTTTTCGTGTCTCCTGCTGTTTCTCTTTGCTTCGCGAAATGGAAAGTGTGTACGAATGCTCGTCGGAGATTAAAATCACCGGAAAAACGAGTGTTCGAGTTCAAAATACCAACATTTTTTCTTCCTCGTATTTCTTTTGTGCGTGCGTGCCGTTCGATCGAAAGAAGAGGTTAGTTTCGATCGTAAGAAACAGTGCGTACTGTGTTCGTTATTAGAGGTTAGAATTTCAAGAGCAGTGTATGCTTTTACTTCATAACCGTTATATCGAGAAGAAACATTCAATGTTTCTCTTGAAAAGTTCGCGTTATACGGCGTTCTGAATAGGGTGAATAGTGAAAAATCGTGAACGACTTTGTTTTCTCTGTGCGACAGTAAGCGAGAGAGGGCAAATTGGCGTGATTGATCGAATAGACAATTACGCGGACGGTAATAAGCAACATAATAAATGGCGATCAAACAAGCCGGCTTCAAAGGCGACACGAGGCTCTTTCAACAGAAATCCCGGCAGTCCCGGTAACGTGGTATCAAAGAGCCCCGGGAATTTCATCTGAAATTTCCTTTCTTCTTTTGCATCGGGTCCGAACTCGTTATTCCTGCAAAGTGTAGCTAGCGGGGTGTGAAAGGGAAACCTGAAAAATCTTGCCGTGTTCACGAGGAAGGCAAACTTTTACGGCGCCGCGATTTATAATTCCGACCGCGTTAGTGAGAAACTCAATTAGCAGATTTTACTTTGTCGTCACAGGAGAATTGTAACACGGGCCAAGGAGAATTCTGTTTTCCTCACGGCAACATTGAAAAATAAACTATAGAGGCGCTGGTGGTATAGAAATCGGAACAAAGTCCTTGTCACTTTATGGGTGAGAGTATAGAATACTGACAAAGAGAAATGTTCATATTTAGAGTAATTTCAGGAGAAATGTTTTTCTTTCAAGGCTTAAGTTTTAACGATACGAATAGGTAATTTATTTAATATTTTATTATGTACCAAGTATGTACGTAAATTAATATTTATTAATTTATATACGTATTTGGTATATAAGAATATTCAGTTTAGCCAATGAAAAATTAAATAGAAAAAGTAATAAAAAAGGCAACAATGTTTCGTTAAGTTGATTTATTTTTTAAAAATAAATATTCACTACTTTCGGTTACCATCAGATAAAAGTTACCTACTGTTTTGAAATTTTAGAATTATACTGTGTTAGTGTCATGTATACATATTACGATAAATAAATTATTATTCACCAGTTATTTTCACCTTCCATTTCGAATCATTCTATCGAATCTTTTTTACCAAAAGTAGGTACTGTAAGTAAAATACCAACATTAAATAAATTCTGTATTACATTAGATAAATTCAAATATATTTTTTTCTTTCATCCTCGTAAAAAATGCCTGATAATTGTATATCGCAAAATTATCGTTCGAAGTGAGGAAAATTAGTGCGTTCGATGATAATCAAAAGAGTGCAAGATGGCACCGTCGAAATGTACCGTAATGCGAAATTAATTCAGCCCCGTGAAACGTTGTGTACGCAGAGTTTTAATTGTTAGAAGTTCGCTTTTGTTCCTAATTAACTCATATTGCTTTCCCTTTATTTCGGGAGAAATTGTTGGAAGGATGCGATCACCGCTGGAAAACAATTTGTAAACTTAATGACGCTTATCTTTTTACGCTTAATTACTGGAGGAAGTGCAGAAAGTGTAAAGTTAATGATGGTTACTGCGAAGTACGTTGATTACCGTGTACGAGGCACATCAATAAGAAACTTTGTAATAGGCTCGACTTTTTTTTTTAATTGTACGCCGAGAATAATTTCAATTGTAAGACTTTGTGAATCTGAAGGGGATAGGAGGTAGAATATCGTTATTTATTTTCAGATAATAATAATAATGAAGAGTATGAAAAATAAGCGTGCAGCAATGCAACGGAAATATTTAGCATATCGAAACGTCGATTTTCTAAAGGTAGAACACTGTCGGTAATGTCAATTTATATTAGTTCTGTTTTATCACGATGATTTTGACGCTTTCGAGCATTTATTTTAGACATTCGATAAATTTGAAATTTCAGAATAAAAAGCGAACATTTATAGTATGTAATAGCGAAGTATTTTATAATGCCTTAGGTATGTGCGTTTAATTTCTAATTTCTTTTCAGTAATTCTCAACTAATGTGCAATAAAATTTTTATTTATATTTGAATATTTTTGTACTTAAGGTTGATATTCATATAAATGTATTGTAACAAAAAAATTTGGAAAATAAAGTGTGTATACAATGTAAAAATTGTTATAATTAATTACATCATAATTAAATATAACGTGATACATAAATAAGAAAAACGTGATAATTTCACACACATATAAGATGTAACATATTATTTTTATTCATTGCAAAATATGTCATAAGAAATTACATTATTATTACGACTAATTTTATTAATTTAACGACAATATTGGAATTCGGATGAAGAGGATAAACTGCATCACCGTCTTCCAACACTGTAAGTCAATACTGTATTGAACGAGCGGTGTAATATAAATTCAGATATACATGAGGATATATTTTATTTCAATTTTTTTTCACAAACAGCAATTCAGTTTTCTATGAAGCAATAACATCCTTAATTTTCAATTTTTAACATTATTTAACCATTGTGTAGGTAATCAAAATGTTCACAGTTGTTTCAAGCTTCAGTGTTTAAAATTGTTCGTATAAATTTTTATGTCGACGTAAAAATGTGCAAAAAAATGGGAATCTATATAGAGCGATTTTACGATACCCTCACAAGAACATAAAAAATTATAATAGTTTCAAAATCCCACCAGCGTAATATTACGTTCGACAGAAACG